TACCACAATGAATCACATACATGTACGGTGAACATAGGTGACATAATACGTGTATTATTATTACATGTCGAATTAAGGAACCCTGATTGAGATGAATTACTCACGTTAAAAAAAAGTGCGACAAGGTGAAGAGAAGATTAAAGTTGTGTGGTTGGGACAAAAGTGGGCATTTCAAGCTGGAGGAAAACTTCAAATGGACAGTTTCCGGATTCCTTTCTTGCCTGCTTGTTAAAAATAAGGGGGCAAGTATCATGCAAAATTTATTGCGATCCAAGTATGCTTTATAAGTATTGTTAAGGAGGAAGTCGTCGTCGGTATGGGTTTCGTTCTTTGGCAGATTTTATCCTATTATTCGGATTAGTTCAAGTGTAAAACGTACACGGTTTGCGGTGCGGTACAACAATATCTTGGTGGATTGTTTAATAAAATGAAGGTTAAGGTTTTTGAGACACTGACCGACACATTTACCAACTGTTCCAGGTTGCGGGACTATCTGACCTTTTATAATTTGAGGCTAATGTTGTAATTACAAATGTAAATACACGAACTATGAATGTAGAGTTTTTCGAAATATTTTGAAATGGGCGGATTCACGAGTCGCTTGTTAATTCGAAATTAAAAGTAATTGTTTCGAGTTGGGGAAGATCGTGTCACTGCTTCATCTCTAAAAATGCCGACGCTCCTGCGAATTGCACTTTTGTCCAGGTGACCCTGGTGTGAGGTCAAACTGGACCTTAATTTTCATATGCGGTGTCATTTTAAAGGAAATTTCAATCGCCTTGACTAATTGTTTACGATCGTTTGACACGATTTTATTAATTATACCACTGGCTGGAATGGTTTTTGATTCATGTAATACTACTTTCCAAAATTGAATAAACATTTGAAAAAAGACGAACCCTTTGTCCCACAAAATATGTAAATGTGTGTACCAATACATATTTAGAACCCCCCTCAACCTGAGTGAACAAGTTAAAAGGGTCGCAGCAATGATAAATAAAAGATCGACCCTATATGCCCATACATTTTTGACTATTTGTCATATTTAGCATGTGTAGTAGCCATTTTATTTATTTGTTATCGCATCTCAATCCTCATGACCAAGTGAGAAACAAACACGAGTACGAGGACACTAATAAATATTCGAGCTGTCGAGTGTGGACACGGGGATTTAATGATATTGTTGTATTGTACGTACAGAGAAAATATGAGTAATCCTCATCAGGCTAATAAGCCTATTAAGAGATCAGTCCTTGTAGTACATAAACTGTTGCCAGATAAAATCCTTCACCAAAGACCCCGAAGGCACGGAGAGCAAAAGGTCCTCCCAATAACCGAGGAGCGTTTTTGAAGTGAAGATTTATGTACGAGTCCTTTAAGCAAGTAGGTAAACGTCGGCGGCAACCCTTAAAGACGGACTCGATCTGATGTGTAATCGATGATTGACACAATGTAGGACATTTGCTCGGCTCCTTTGTTCAAATCCTTTAATCCTGTTATACTCTTCTCCTCCTTATTTATTCATGATCGTCGTCGTCATAAATACCTTGTTGGATAAGGTAGGTGAAAAATAGAGGAAAATAATAATCGTTCAGGGCGTAGAGTAAGCTTCTTTTGCTGGAAAAACAGCAAAATTCCGATCTTTTCTAGTTGGCTTATGGACATGCTGAATTGTCCATTTTTATTGTTATCGTATCATTTTTATTTATTTGATGAACAATAAGTTTTCATATTTTCAGTGTTTCGTTTTCTTGAGGGTTTGCTACATTTCTTGCGCTGGAAAGGGAAAAAAGCGCAAGAAATGTAAGGCGCAAGAAACTACAAAAGAAAGTGCAAGAAATAATAAGAATAGCGGTCGTTTCTTGGGCCGTGCATTTCTTGCAGGTCAAAATACCTGCAAGAAACCACTATTATGTCTTGCAAGTGGTTACTACTTGCATCAAAAACACGGGATATTTTATTATAATTCACATTTTGAAAAATTCCTATCCCGTGGTTTCATTAGTATCCTGCTGAAACGATAACTGACTGCTCCATGAAGAGAGACCCATGATGACGGTGAGCATGTATTTATTAACTCGCAGCAATATAACAGACATGTTCACTCACTCACATCATAATGTAACAAAATCGGATGATTGGGTTTTAAGTGTGTCAATCTGGACAATAACATGACGACGTGATGAGGTATTAAGTGGGCATATATATTTTTGGAATGAGTGGCACTTCAGTATCACGCACAATCCAGGCTTCTTTTTCCATACTTGAAAACACTTAAAGCCCAGCAGCACATTAGTTTTCCCTTCCAGGGTCGGAATGCGGGGAGAAGAATGAATAAAAAATGCAGTTTTAGAGATCAATCCCATTCATCCAATCGAGGTGTGCGAGAGTGGGTTTATTAGCGATTGAAATGTATGGCTGTGGATCGTATGACTTATCCAGTGTTTCGTTTGGGAAGTCCTACTACTTTGGGAAGTCCTAAACTACTTTTGGACTGGACACCGTCCAAAAGCGTGTAAAACTGTATCAAATAATTTTGGACGTCCAGAATGCCCAATTTTGGGAAATGGGTGCACATATATTTAATTCCCCATTAATTTTGATCATTTTGGTGAGTCTGTATTCTGTAATACCATGAAATTTGGAAAAAACTTCTGTTTTATTAATAATAACATGTTTTATTATGAAAAACTGAGAAACTTTCTAAACCAAGCCGTACAGTATTAGAAAAAAATGCTCAGAATTAATGGGAAATTAAACACATGCGCCAACGGATTATCTAAAGATTTAATAACGAAGAATTTGCAACATTTTGCCTCATTTTCTATTTTGGACACTTTTCGCATTTGGGACGTTCAAAATTATGTGTCCAAAACTGGGTAAAACCCGATTTGGACAGTGGTTAAAAAACTACAGGGAAACCCTGGACTTAACATTACTGTAACTCTGTATGTAGGAACAGGAATAATGAGATGCGACAATTATGTGTTCGACTTGTGTGGTGGTGGTGATAGGTTGATAATAATAATAAGGACATTGAACAAAAAATCGATATATGTACAATAACGAAGCGATTCTGTGCCCCATCGAGTCTCACAAAAATTTAGTCACAGTGTAAAAGTGAACACGACGCTGAAAAACCAAACTTTACATCCAGGGAAGTGGACCCCCTCTGTTTCCAACCCTGTAATTATCACAATTTGACAGTATGTTCTTCTGGATGGGAAAAATATGTGTGTGTGGATTTATAAATGGGCATGAAATTCAATGAATTTTGATACCTTTCTGATTCACATGGCCCAGCTGGACGAGACTTGGTCTGCATTATGTAGTGGATGGGGGGATACATTTACGATACCACCGCAATATTTGGCGGATCGGTGGGGGTTCATTTTAAAATACCGCACACTGTGATTCCGAGTGGAAGTGGGGATGATGATTTGAAGTAGATTTTTAACAATCAAATTAAGCTTCTCATCTCACTCAAAAATTTATCGAGACAGATTGTAGGAATCATATCGTTGAATTTTTTAAAGGGTTGAGTGAGGAGGACACTTATCTGCCAAATAAAACGGTGCAGTTGTGTTATTTTTGGTTGTAAAGAGTGCAAACAATTACTGTCTCAAAATTATTGTCACGACGGATGTACTTGTACGCTTGCAATGAAGGTGTCCCAGGGTATGCTGTAAGATTTTGAGCAAGTTAGTGTCAATCTAGCACATATTCAAGTAGTACGAAATTTGTAAAGATACGATTTCCCAATGCGTTTGGCGGAGATACTTGCATCCGAAGAGGAGAAAACGCTCAGTAAAGTGCACAATTTTTCAACTTTACTGCGGATTTTTTGCTTTTTGGATGCAAATATCTCCGCCAAACGTTAGCATGGGTAGATCGTTCCATTCACGAATTTCATATTAACGAAATTCATGATCGATTGACACTAGTTTGTCCAAAATCGGAATGCATACGCTGGGAGATCTCCATTGTTAGTTTTTTTAACTCGAAAAGAAACTTATTTTTTTGATGGATTTATTCCAATGAAATGCAAGGAGTGCTACCTTTCCTGAATGAATGGGGGAGTTATCATATCTCGCTTAAGCTGAAGGCCAACAGAATATGAACAAACAAAGTAATCTTGCTGGATATCCATTGGAATCAGTGCGATTCATATAAAGTTTATTTATTGTGATTCATTGCACACATATGTGAATGAACACGTGCTCTCACAAAGGGACAAGATCAAGGAGACGAGAAATATAATGCGAAATGAAATGGGCTGCTTCCGGTCTGTCTTTGTTCATCGTAAAATTAGTTATTCAATCGTTTGGGTGGCATGGATCACGAGCGAGTCACATTATTCAAGTCATTCTTCAAGGGACCAAAATTCTTTGTTAAAATACAGTATTTTGATCTCCATTCTTGCCAGGGTTTGGATTTCCAGGGGTGTTACACCCACAAAAAAGATGAAAATCTACGTCGACACAACAGTCACACGAAATTGCGGGTTTCGTGAAGAAACTAACATTTTATTGCTGCCAAAGTACTTTATTTTTACAAAATCGTGAAAACAAAGTACCTTGCAGTGATGAAATGTTAATTTCTTCACAAAACGTATATTTTCGTATGACTGCTGCCTTCTCGACGTAGATTTTCGTCTTGTTGTGGGTGAAACACCCCTGGAAATCCAAACCCTGGGAAGAACAGAGATTAAAATACTGTATTTTGTCGAGACAAGGGTATTTGCAATGGTAATGAAAATATGAAGCATTTGGGAACCCTGATAAAATTCACGGTCAGAAATTCAATGCCAAACGTACACCAACATCGGAACTTTCATGGCTGGGAATTTGAGACGGAGCAAAACCTCGTGAGGCGACTAACGAGAGTAAAACCGTGTGAGTGACGATAAAAAAGTGACACTTTCTGAGACGTGATATTAGTTGGTGGTGGTGGTGGTGGTGAACTGCGTAGTGCGCCCTCCGCTGCCCCCTTCCGGCCAAGATCTCGGTTTTTGCCGTGGAAACGGAAACAGATCGTTGTTGCAGGAAATTCTAATTTTCAAACAAAGTAATCGACACATAATAAATAATTATAAATTAAAAAGTCAAACTGCTTGGTCAACTTGTTCAAGTTCATGCTCATCACGAACCCTGATTGTGTCTTGCGTCTTATCAGGTGGGTTTAGATGATTAGTTACTTAGTGGTTTATAGTTATTGATTTGTTGGGTGATATAATTTAATGCAGATCTGAAGCTACTACTACTAACTATTGTATTAATTAATTAATTCATAATTAAGTCGCAGTAGTAGATCTGAGTGTCAATTATTCATGGAAGATTAATAATTGCTCCTTCTCCTATTTTTTCTAGATGAGTGGAAAATGTGAGACTAGGCGAAGCTGAAATGACGTCAACTTTGTCGCCATCATAGGAAAACGTAGCCGTGGAGTGGTCGTCGTAGGGTCCCGTCTCTGTGTCAACAAATGTACCTGAGGATAAGAGATCAGTATCGTCACCTCCTCCTCCTCCACCACCGACCACCACGACTAGGTCTTATCCATCCCGAACCTACTACTTGGTCAGGATGGTTCATCGCTGCTGTATTTCGTCATGTGGGATGAACGTACGTGTCGCAGAGGCTAAAGGGCTGTCTTATCATGGGTTTCCGAATAAAGAACCACTTCGAGAACAATGGATTCAAGCCATAATTCCACATCTGGATAAACCCGAAGTTTTCAGACTTGTTCCAAAATACACGCGAGTTTGTTCACGACATTTTAGGAAGAAGGATTACTCTGTGGATATCAAAAAACGAGCCCGACTAAATTCAAGTAGTTACAAATGTGTTTTTAAATTATTGCACTTTTGATTTAAGTGTATGTATTTATTCATTTTTTTCAGATGCTGTACCATCGGTATTTCCACGAAAGAACTCGCCTATCGTAATCCCCGTCGTGATTGGGAGTCCTAGCAGGGCCAGTAAAACAATCAAACTAGAAGGAGCTGCTGGTCTGAGTACTAGCTCAGCCTCCACCACGAGTGATATTGTTCCTACTCCGAGAACAATTGGTCTTTCAACTTCACGAGCTTCAGATGATTCTTTACCCTCTTCTCTGAGTGGGTCGCCATTACTTTGCCCAGTATCGTGGAAGCTTGTCGACCGCAACAATTTGTTGGAGGATGGAACCACAAATAATCAAAACTTGAACAGTGGTGGCTGTTTAGACAGTCGTGAATTTATCTTTGAAGCAGCCACACTAAACGACGACCAGTTAACCTTACACGTGCGAGATGGTAGTAGCACTTTAGATAATTGTGGTGGTGGTGGGGGCGGCATCTCATCATCCAGCATATCACAAGAAGACTTGTCACAAAGTTCAAATTTCTCCCTCAACATTAACGAAGACAGTAACGAGGCTCCTCATAAGAAACGAAAGCGTCGAAAGTGGAACCGATCCGCGTTCGATCGACCTGCCAAAGGGAAAAAGAAAGTGGACGATGTGAACATTGACGGCGTTGGTGAAGCACTCGCAGAAATTAGTTTATCAACTCTGTTGGCCATCGCAACTCCAAATCTGCAACAAGACAAACAACAACACCACATCTTCGTCGGGGGCGCCATGAGCAGTGAAGCCAACAGTTCAATCATAAATAATAATCAAAACGTACCTGCAACAACAACGGCAACAGAGGGATCATCATCTTCATCAAGTGCTAACACAACTACTGCCATCATTTCTTCTATTTCTACGCCTACGACGTCTTCATCGTCTAATTTTCGAACAGTGACCTTATCCCTGTCCTCCTCTCATCACGACTTGGTCAACCAACATTTGAGCAGCATTGAGCAAGAGCTGCTCCAAAGCATACAGGCCGTCAGCCTTCATTGCGGTGGGGACGGGGATGGTGGCAATGTTGAGGAGCAGGAATTCATCGTGGGTGATTTGGACTCCCGCCTGCTCTCATCCATCTCTGGGCGACCACCCCCATTTGTGCACCATTCTAGCGAAGAGTCAATTTTTTCCACGACGGAAGAGGATGACCCCCTGTACCACATTTCATCCATGGATCCGAACAGTGTCAACTTGGAGTATCACCATCATCATTCCTCCACCCACACGGGACCCTCATCCATCAGCCCGACGACGGAGGACAACGGTGGTCTCCTCTCCCAACTTGTGAACGGGATTGGGCTCGATGAAGAGCGTGGCCCGACTTTGTTGGAGATTGAACATTTGGCTAATCATTTCAACTCTTCGCTCCTTACAGATTACAACAATACAGAGTTGTCGATTGGGTTGGGAGATTTGCATTTGCCCAGCGACGGGAAAGACGACAAGGGCGAAAGTTTAGAAGGTCTTTGCACAAATGAAGAAATTGAGCAACAACTTCTTCCCGACAAAAAATCGAGAGCAAGAGGTGGTGATGGTAGTAATCAGAAACTGGATTCAGCAGAGGGACATAATAATGCACGAAATGTTAATCGAGGTACACACATTTAATTAATTATTCTCTTGGTGTGAATTTGAAATCTAATATGCTCCCATTTCAATGTAAATTTGCAGATAGCACGCCATCCTTACTCATGGTTAAACCGCCGAGTGCACGGGCAAAGAAGAAAGCTCCAGAGAACGCGAGGCTGAACAGAGTTACCAAAAAGCATAAGAAGGAAAAGATATGTGGCCAGTTTTCCGTGGAGCGATTCAGCAATTCGGACAAGGACATTGAATATTACACTGGGTTTAATTCTTATCGGAATTTCGAGGCTTTCTTTCGCTCTCTAGAAGCGTATGTGGAACGTTTGCGTGTAACTGATGTCATGTTTGGAGTCGCTAATTTGGGCACGGTAAGTTAATTAAAGATTGATTGCTAAAAATCGTTATGTGTGCTTTAACGTAGAACTCGATGACTTATCACCAAAATCAGCACATTTTTAATCATTTCTCGGCTCTAAGAATTGATTTTACAATTCTGGACAACTAATTCGTAGAGCAGGGAATTGCCAATTAAAAAAATATTGTCCTTCTGGCGATAACTTATCGAGTCTTACGTTACCACAAAATGTTTGTGTATTTTAACTAAACTGTATTTATTTGTATTCCGTGTTACAGCTCCATTCCTCTTCCGAAACGAATGGTGGTGACTCCTCCACCGCCGAATGCAATTCTGACACTGGTCGTTCCACCCCTTCCGAGTTTATCCTCCCACTCCCACCTCCACCCGCGTATGACGAGCCGATAAAAAAGCGCCCATTTCATGGCCGATCCATGTCACGAATTGATGAATTGTTCATGACGATTATTAGACTGAGAAGAAAGTTACCTGAGAAAGTTTTGGGTCACATGTTTTGTATTTCACAACCCACCGTCTCTCGCATAATTCGAGCTTGGACGGTCCTCTTAAGCAAACTGATTGACTGTTACCCTATCGAAAGTAGCAGTAACACCGGAGAAAGTAGTAATACCACCAAGTCAAGTAAATCATCTACCTCAAAATCGTCATCTACCTCCACGACTTGCACCTCAACCTCCACCACGACGGGACCCGGATCAAATAAAGAGCATTCATACACAAGTCGAGGACTCGGCATCCCGGAATCGTTTCGCCAACTGTTTCACAGTGACCTCGCCCAATCCATTGTGGTCACATCGGTTACTGCTAAAGACAAGAAAACGGCACAGAAACCATCTCCCTCGTCGTCAACATCGTCCACTGTTACATCGTCGGCTGGGACATCTTCTGCAAAACGTTCCAAGAAGAGTCGGGTCGAAACAGTGGATCCTTTACTGCTCGAGGTGGTGGATGCCACGTCGTCGACCTCGAGGGATGATGAGCATGAGCAGCAGCTTTGTGATCTATTGGACGGCACACTGCACGATACCAACTTACTCTTTAGCCAGTTAGAAGTTGAAGAGTGTGACTTGTTTGCAGAATCATTTTGCAATTGATCGATCGAGCAAGTTTCTTCTCCCCACCAAAAAAAATGATACAGTTCCAGTTCCAGAATTGGGTCTTATTGTTATATATCCTGATATTACAGAATGTCCGATTAATTGCATAATGTTGTTTGTTTCGTTTTTAACTTTATTACTAATTATATTTACTACCATATGCAGTCCGCTATTATAAATCTGAGTTTATTAGTTAACTATTTACGCACGAGCAGAAGATGTATACACAGACGGATTACTATATGATAAGGAATAACAGCAAGGAATCGCCTCATCCATTGCATCACAGGAAGAAGAAAAGCAACTATAAACAATGCATTTACTTATTAACTAAACTAACCGGATACAGAAACGAAATTAATCTATAATAATATTCTTCGCCTCAATGTCTTATTTGGAATAGGAGTGATAAAAAATTAGTAGATTTCGTATTTTTGCGAAAAAGAGATTTATTAATTTGCCGCACACGTAATATGCGAGTCCCAACACACAAAATTGTACTGCCAAGTAATTAACTACAGTGGCATTTATTTATACAATAGTTTATCATTAGCTTGCGTACGCATTACCTGAAAAAAAGTTTAAAAGTTCTCTTCTCTAAAAAAAGTCCGGTCTTTGATGATGACATTAATTAACCAAGAGATAGATACTTGAACTAAGGAAACATTTCACTACATATATTCTCAAATTGTTGGTGAATCATCGATATAATACGAATTAAGGAAAACCCAGAAAAAAGATTTTTGTATTTTAGACATATTATTATGATATAACATTTTTATACAGATCAGTAGATATTTCGGCCGCTAATACACAATGCGGAATGAATTTATTCTCCTACTCAAACAATACATTTAATGAATGCTGGTTAAACTTGATATCCGGTAGTTTTAAGCAAGAAACGAATTTCTGTCATAATATTTAAAAGAAACATTGAAATTCTAGTTATTTTATTGTAATTCAAACATGTTGCATAAAAATAATAAAGTTTTATCTCGAACTTGGAAAAATGTAAGTTCTAATTGTTAGTTGGGACGGGACGGGATTTAATTAATTAGTCGTTGCTTCCCACCGATCAACTCATTCTCACACACATCGTAAAATGTACGAATCAACGGTTAGATTACCAGTTTTTGGTTTCCACGATTATTTGAAAGTCATATATCTTTTTACGGATCGTGTCAGATTTCCAGGTTGGCAATTCTTCTTACAAATGTCATAAAGGCATGCTAAAAGTTTCATGTCATAAAAGCGACACATTCACATAGGAAGGCAATTTATATGAATAAATGATACGAATCATTCTCAACTTTTTCATGAGAAAGCAGAGCATCTTCAACTAAACTATGTACATTCATATAAAGATATTTGTGGCAGCAGGATGAGGACCTGGATGGATATTCCATTCCGGTAGTAACCAAGTACATTTTCTTATTCTTGTATCTATCTATGCATCCTATTATTCTATTCCTCGTCCATGAATTCTTTCTCCCACGAGCTACACAACACTACATTATTTACTACACCTCATAGTAAGTAAGTAAGTACTTACTTCACTTTATATATATTAAGCATCACGGCACAAAACGTGGTGTAATGTAACGCAGTAAGAGTTCAACCCTTTCGCTTAAACCCTTCCTTTAAAGGATGCATTTATCCTCGTCTTTTTTTCATGCACTCATACAAACTCCTCAGCAGATGGTATCGTATCGTGTAGATGTACGTGTAAGCATCGTGGCGTTGGAGAAGAGGGGAAGAGAAGCAATTAAGCCCAGCTAAAACCACTTAAAGATCACGCTGTGTGTGCAGTTCGTACGTTTCTACGTCCATCCAATCCATCCATTATACTTTTCCTTCTTTGCTTTAATAATGGAATAGTAAAATCTACGTATGTATCTCTCGAGTTATTATTCCGTAAAGATTCATAGACTTTTTTAAAGGGAAATTCCAAAATCACCAGGAGCAGTAGAAAATTCCTACTAGATACGTCAGGGTTTAGTTAGTTTATTTGTGTTATTAGTCAGTGAGTGAGTGTGTCCCTTACTTACTTGCACAACCAACCAACTTCCTGCTTCCTGCTATTTTGGTTGGGTTTAAAAATTGTTGAATGAAACCGGAACTTTACTGGAGCTTGTCTGGTCTGGTGGGACGACCCTTTCTCGAACAAATAGTGATCATCATACGTATCTCATCTGCTGCTGATGTAGTGGGAAAAGACCACACCACTTCCGCTCTCTCTTCTTCTTGTACTCATTATCAAATGGTAAATGCAAGACACAAGAAAAACCGACTTTTTTTGCGTGCACTCGGCTTTTCTAGCTAGGTTAGCACAAAAAGTAACCAGTCCAGTATGTACATAGCAAAAAGGGTTGCTAAATTTCTGCTGCCTGAGACTGAAATCTAATCAGGTATCAGATTCACAAGTTGGTTATTCTCGTATTACTTACTACGGGCTGCTGCGAAATAAAATACAAGTCGGTGGTTACTTACTTGTAAACTTGCCTGTAAACAGTGGTTTGGTTTGGTTTGTGTGTTGTGAAGTTTAATATTACATTTTACATTACTCATCGACATCAACGACCAAGAAAGACCAAACCACTATCAAATTCTACTACTTGACTTGGTAGGATTGCTCACCTCGCTCGACATCTCCGTTTACTTTCTTTGCTTCCTTATTTAAACACAATTGTCATCATCATCATCGGGATAAAAAACAAGGCCGGAGTCGGGCTGGTTGGTTTGTTGGATATTGGATTTCGTAAACAGCATTTCTTTCTGCAGATTTCTGCAAGTAATACGAGAAGAAGAGAGCAGCTGAATGGTGGTGGTTGGTTGGTGGTTGAATGTAAACCTATTCCCAAGAAATTTATGATACAAGAGGAATTTGACTGACTACACTGACTTGTGATGTAAAAAAGTGCACGGTTAATAAATAGTTAACTAACTTTGATGACTGATGAGTCACAATAATATCTTCGTCGGACATAAAACTGTGTCTAGTTTTTTCTTGTGCGTTGTTATGTGATCATCTAGCTCTTGATATTGTTTAAGTACTCAACCAATTGTGTAGTGGATTTTGTTTAATTGACGTAAAAAAGTGATCGTGTAAACGACCGGCGATTTGAAAAGGGAGGAACGTCCTTAAGTCACTTGTCACTTTTCACTAAAGAGAAGAAAAGATGATATAATTTTGAGTCGTCATTTTGAGTTGTCAAGCAGTTAATCAAAAAGAAACTGGTGGGAATGATATTGCCCTTCGATAAGAACAAGAAAGAACCAACAACATGTCGCTACAATTACCAAGATTTCAGTCGAAAAAGAACAGTTTGGAATTGGAGAGGGAGCACTTTGAGAAAGGACAGGTGAGGATAAATGACATAATTAATCAAATGTTTAACAATTTGTTGATAAGAAGTTAATTTCCGCTTTAAGTCGGCGGCATATGCAGTGACGAAGAACTATCTTATCTTTAGCGGTCTGTAGGTGACCACGGTTCTTGCTTGACGTTAACGTATCACACTGTCCCCTTGCACTTGATTCTTCTTTGACAGTTATCTAAATGTACATACATTTAAAACCTTTGTTGTTCTACCTCGTATGACCACCCGTGCAATGCAATATCTTCTGTCCTCCATTAATACTACCTGACTTGTCAATTTTGACATGTCTATTACTTTTCCGCGAATTATTGTAAATATCATTCGTCAGCCGCACTAATTCCTGCCATGTACATAATAGTTTGATAGATAAGCTAAGCAAAGTGTACACGGATGAGAGAGTGAAACTACATATTATTACGAAAATGTATAACGATAAGAGTCAGGATGACGATAAGGCAGGATAGATAAGGATGTCCACCTAGATTAGTTATTAGGCATACACACAATCGAAAGTGAAATTCAACTAATTCAACTCAACCATCACTTTGGATCAGCCCCATCAAAAAGGCGATACCAAGCAAAATTAATTTAGCAAATTTATCATAATATTTAAACTCTGTGAGAGAGGATGTGATGGATACGTTGTAGATTGAATTAATTCAGTTTATTATTATTAAAGATGTGTGGTTAGTTTAGTTTAGTTTAGTTTAGCTTTTTGCTTCGGCACGATGCAATCTTGAGCAACGCCGTTGGTTTTACCAGCAGTCATTCAATCGTGATTTTTCCAGTGGGGGTTGTTTTTGGCAATGTGTTACTAATATTTATTGACTAATGGTTTAAATCGAGTGGGGTGCAAAGTTTACACTAATTTACGAGACGACAGTGCTTAACAATCTTTGACTTTTGTTAACATTTCCTGAAAATGTCCATCAAAATAGCAGACCGTGGAATGTATCCACTCTCCTCGTACTACCACAGAAAAGGAGAAAATTGTCCACCAGTGGATATGGTATGTTTCAAAAATGCCGTGCCAAAAAAAATCAACATTTCCAAGAACGACTGACTCGACTTTATAAATATTTGCACATTCTTTTTACCCTTTAAAAAATAGGATGCGTTTTCTTTTTTATAAATATGTTAATATGATGACACATAAGGTAAAAGTCACGTACGTATTTGGTCGGAGTCCATAAAAAAGTGGGCACAAAATTAATTTGATAAGTGACAAATACTTATCTTAAATAGGTTAGGTTTAGGTTACTAGCTGTTATCTCTAGTCTAGCAATACTAGTCTGCTAGTGATACCTGATAGTGTGAACCTATTTAAGATAACCTAACTCTAGGAAACAATAATATGACACTTCTGAAGTTAATTTCGTTTTGGAAAAAGTTCTGTCTCCTGTCATATTAAGCTCCTGTGTTAATTTTAGTTTTCGTGCCCACGGTTTGCATTTCGACACACGTATTTATTTATTTGATTTGTTTGACGTCATACTCGTACTAACTTAATTAACACTATTTGTTAGCAGTATATACTCATTTTATTTAATTTGCAGGCAACTTCGCTCTCCAAAGCCATCAATACTCAGGAGACGGCCGTAAAGGAGAAACATGTTCGAAGTACGTTTTACAAAAATTTATGATTTTCATTTCATACGCATTTTCTGTCATGTATTTGCTTATGTACATTTGTCTGCTTTTAAGTTTGTGCGTTTTTCATATAAAATGCTCTCAATCAAATTGCGATATACATTATCATTCGTTTCTACTCTTTTCAACACGGCTTTTGAGAATCACATGAGTGGTTTGAATGATGAGTAATCTGGACTGTCTCCTTCAGTAATCTAGTCGTATAGATGCACATTACACTTATCAATTAATTTTATTATATGTTCTGGAACGAATTTACAAATATTTGCTGCAATTAAAGAGTCAACTATGATAAGCAGAGGGCGGTTATGTATTTATTTTCAACTTGACGAATGGTCAAACTTTGTGCGTATGTTCACTAACTTTTATAGACCACTAAAATTTCAAAATATTTTTATGTATTGTTAATTCTGGGTTTTCAGACATAAACATGTCCGCTATTATTTACAAAATACGTGAATCTTTTACATATTTTTTTCAAAATTGCGTATACATATTTTGTAAATATTTCGACAATTTGAGACGAAATTTTATGCTCAAAGAAATTGGACCACAATAAATCCAGAATATTAAATTGCAAAATACAAATTTTCAGAAATTTTTATTTTTATTTCATACATAATTCGTAAATATTTTGACGTTTTTTTTCATAATTTTTCGTAAATACATAACCTCCCTCTGATGATAAGTTAGCCTATAAACTTGCTCAATATCACCATTGTTATGACGAAATTGAATAATATTTGTTTTTTCAAAACCGCAATGCAAACATTTGCAATTGCGCTACATGGGAAGTCGAAGTCATTCAAGAATAAAACGTGCCTACTGTCAGTGTCAAAGTTAAAGTCGAGGAATAACTGAATAATTCACGAGAAAAAAAAATCTGTTGGCATTAATCACACGGAAAAAACGTTAAAAAACGACTCGTTTAAAAATTGCATGAGTTATTTTCCGCTGATTTGAGTGTGGAAAAAAATGTGCAGTTTTTTTTAACAATTTTACTTATTATGCTGGCTGGTTCTCTCTCGCTTAACTTGGTCTGTCTGCACATACATAATGGGAGCCCATTATTGGTTACAATTACCGTGACAATTTTACTACACAGACTTTAACAATAATAAAAAAGGGAGCATTTTTTACTTTATGCAACGGCACACACGATACCAGTCATGAACATGATCACTACGTATTTATTACGGCTTCTGCGACTGGCACAAACTTTTTTTTTACAAGTATGCACCACATCACGGACAGAAGAACATCGTAATTCAAACCACGGTTTAACAAGGCGAATTTTTATTTCCTGAATCTGCTTGCTTATTAACCTACATATTTATTTTGTCGTGAAATGAAATTATTTCGAAATGCAGAAATAATTATGATCTAATGTAACGTGGTCTCATAATATGTGATAAAATGTAAAATTTTCATGTATGATTTAGGTGCCATCATCGGAACGTATCAGGAACGCGGTGCCTCCACATTTTGGGAATGCGTTCATCGCCTTCCCACCAAAGAACATGCCGTTCTTTGCTGGAAGTTTTGCTTCGTTCTTCACAAGGTGTGTATGTGATGAATTAATCACTCATTGTTCTTATTATTGAGGCAAAAAACAATTACCTACTCATGAATGCAACCACGCTAAACCCGTAAAATTACCATATGGTGACACAATGCAACGACTTTTAACGGTAACTGAATTTCATGAATCCTTCGCTATTTGTATTCATGAACTGGCTGACTGACTGAACCACTTAATTGGCTCGGGTTGCAAGTTTAAGTAAAGTTTTATTGTTGTGGTACATACTTATTGTACCCTCTTTCGTGACCAAGATGAAAACAATATGCATTGTTTGTTGCCCATTTGAGAAGGGTGTGTGTGTTTAGGATTGTTTATTTATTTAGGAACAAATGGCAATCTGAGACATCAGGTCTTTATTTAAATTCTGATTCTTGTAGGTGTTGCGAGAAGGACATGAGAATGTTATTCGAGACTCGCAACGGTACAAACCAATGTTGCGAGAGTTGGGCAAGTTTTGGGTAATTATAATGAGATGCTTTACACTTCCCGGAAGGAGAATTAAAGTAAAATGGATGCTAATTAATTATGTAGGGTCTCTTGAAATCCGGATTTGGAGGTTTGATTAAGGACTACTGTGCCCTTCTCGAGATAAAATTGACCTTTCACCTGAGAAATCAAAGAATTCCGGGGAATCTGGATATGGACTATGCGGACCTGGTTAATTCCGTGGGGGACAATGAAGACGCATTGTATGAATGTCAACCTCATATGTAATTAATTGTTCACGGTTCTAACTACAGGATTATGTTTGTTTAGTTTCCAACTCTCTGTGGAAATGCTGGACTATTTGGATGCTATTTTGGAGCTACAGGCTGACAGTATGTTGTTAATACTGAAATTCATAAATTATTTTTTCAATGGATTATTTTGCCCGTAGTCTTTAAAACGATGGACCAGTCTCGCTGCAACTCCATGACGCCTGCAGGTCAATGTCGGCTCACACCGTTAATCCCGTGTATTCAAGATTCCATGATTTTGTACGACTATACAACAAAAATCTTGTTTCATCTTCATTCGAGTAAGACCGAATTATCAAACAATAAAAAGACCAAAACTACACAAACTTTTGGATGAATTCTAATGAAAATTGTGTCTATTTATGATAGAACTTTCTCCAGACCTGTTGGAAGGACATAGGCAACGATTCCTCAAAGTTTTCCGAGAACTTTCCCAACTTTATGAGAAAACTATGAGTCTGCAATACTTTAAAAATCTTATTGCTATTCAACTTCTCCCCAAAGTAAGCCCTATTACAAGCACTAATGAACAGAGGGCGGATATGCATTTGCACCGATGAAACATCGGTGAAATATGTATTTAATATTCATGAAAAAAACGCTAAAATATTTACCAATTATGCACGAAAAATATAATAAGAATTTTCACAAAATTTGTATCAATGCTCACACCGGGGTCTAATTTCTTCGAGGAAACAGTTCTTGTTATATCGTTGAAATGTTTACAAGATATGCATATATTTTTTTTTAATGTGAAAAAGATTTCTGTATTTTCAAATAATAGAGGAAACATTTATATGTCTGAAACCTAGAAATGTGTGACAATATGAAAGAATATTTTGAAATTTTAGTGATCTATAAGAGTTAGGCAACACTCGTCAGCAACTGAAAAAGTTGAAAATAAATACATCTCCGCCCTCTGCAGTAATGAATCACTATTGAATGTGTACTAATATTTTCCCTTCTCAACTTTTTCAGAACCCACCAAACTTTCTTATCCAATCAGACATTGAAAATTACGAAACGAGGAAAGTCACCGTATACAATTCCGGTGATTTGATCGATGTTGATAATGACGAGACTAACAAAACGAACGAATCCCGATCAAGCTCTCCTGATTTGCAGCTAATACAGATGGAAAGGTGATACAAATATATAACATCTCTTGCAAGCTCATTATTTACTCGTATTTACTGGCCTTTTGTTTGGCACACAGGGAGCGAGACAAGCGGATAAGAGAACTTGAAGATGAAGTGAAACGCTTGAACGAGTACATTGTCCAATTGAGAGAACAGGCTGGGCGACGCATCCGTGAATTACAGGCAGAAATTAGCCTATTGACTGACCAGTTGACAGATAAAGTGAATATCATATTTTATCCAAAACGGATTTTAGGTGCATATATTTAATGCGACTATTATGACTTGTAGAATTCTGAAATTGGGGCGAAAGATAGAAAAATTGCCGAGCTGCTCTCACATGAATGCAAAATCCCCAATGATATTGCTGAACGGATGGATGTTGCTGAAAGTACGGAATTAACAATGAACCACAACAGCCTTTCTAGAATAATTTGCAATTTTTGTTTTACAGAAAAAAATGTTGGGCTAGAGGAAAAGTTCAGCAAGATGAAAAACATGTACACAAATTTGCGAGAGCAGCATGTCGATTTACTACGGAAGGTGAGGCAGCAGTTTTTAATTATATTTGAATTTATTTTTAAAGAAAATCACATTTTAATAAGCTTTCAATGCAAATTCTTAGTGAAACAACTTCAGTCAAACTAATTTGAGTTCTTGCCTACTATTTCTATTGTCAACTATTTCTAACCTGTAACATTTCTTATATTAAAATCTGTACTAAAGTAACTTGAGATCAATCAAATACAATTTTTGTTTTTTTATTACTAATAACACCATTTTTCCCTCGTTTACTTCAATCTTGAAGGTGCTGAGGAGTAGCATATTACTAAATTGATTTACTACGCAGCAAAATCTAATTCAAATTGTATATTCTGGATGGGTTTTAACTATACTTTAATCGTTGATATAGAAAGGAGCATCGGACAAGGAAATTGGAGAGCTGCGAAAAGTTGTGGATGGACAGAGCGAAATGAGTTCTTTGGTCGAGGTGAGAAATAATTATAAAAATATTTGTACCTTGATGGCAGATTTCAATGATTTATGTTTACAGAGCCTGCGAAAAGAGAAGGAAGAAGTGGAATCTAATCTGTTTAACAAATTGTCCAAAAAGGATACGCAAGTAGAAGAATTGGACAGTATCGTGGTGGAGTTAAAATCTCAAATCGAGGTATAACACACATAAGTTAACGTAGGACTAGACGACCCATCACTAAAATCATCGAAATTATCACATTTTTAATTATTTCTCGTCTCTGGGAATTTATTTTAAAATTCTGCACCTCAAATTTGTAATGAGTAAGTTGATTAATAGAATGGCGGAGAGTTTTTTAAACCAGTTTCGATGAGTTCCAATTTTTCTGAAGGTTTCTTAAACTTGGGATCTCCTTCAAAAACGGTTAAGATTTGGAGTCTACATTTTTTTAATTGACAACGACCTGAGAGCTGGGAAATGATTAAAAATGTATTGATTTTGACGATTTTGGTGATAGGTCATCGAGTCCTGCGTTAATACTATTTTATGCTGGGCACTATAAAAGCTTATGCTAATTTTATTTTCGTGGCATTTGCAGTCGATAGAAAGTGCCAAGAAAAAGATAGAGTCTGATTTGGAGACTGAGCTGACAAAGGCAAAAAATGAAATTGAAATGTTACTCGGTGGTAGTTCGTCGCTCGAGAAATTAAACAAGGTATAAAAACGATGCTAACAAATCGTTCAAACCTTCATAAACCTAACTGATTTAAAAAAATTTTCCAGTCTCTCGTCGACCAATTGGACACCTTATCCAAGAAGTGTGACGTCCTTGGTGACGAATTGGCATTGACTGCCAGTTCTAGAGACAACTTATCCAAAAAGTGTGATGATGTTGCAGACGAATTAGCACTGACGGCAGGTGACAGGGATAATTTGTCCAAGAAGTGCGACGACCTTGTTAATGAATTAGCACTGGCTACCGGGGCCAGAGATAACTTATCCAAAAAGTGTGACGACGTCGCCGACGGATTAGCACGAGCAGCAGGTGACAGAGACAACTTATCCAAAAAGTGCGACGACCTTGCGAACGAATTAGCACTAGCTGCCGGGGCCAGGGATAACTTTCAAAGTCAAATCAACGATCTACAACGGCAAATCCAGGACAATCAGAAAAATATGGAAAACGAGTCAATCCAGCGATACAACGAGCTTCTAAGTAAGGAACAAAACTCGAATTTATTCATAAAACATATAGTCGTTGTACGTGCAAAAGTTCTCGGTTGAGAAACCAGTCTGTAACACAACTTGTCGCCATCAAAGCCAATTGGAAACAGAAGTTGTCAGATGAAAATCCGGGAAAACTGTGACATGTTACGAAGTTTCATATCTCCCTAAAATGGATCCTCTGGAACTTCTGTTTCCAACTGCTTTTAACGGCGACAAATTCTGTTACAGACTGGTTTCTCAAACGACAACTTTTGCACGAACAGCGACGATATCACTTTCTGTAAATTTAATTCTGAATTTCGCTTCACCTTTTAGACGTCTGCATTCAGGAATGTGAAGGAATCATGCGTAAAACAATTGAAGACTTGGAAAATCCTCTCCTCACCGGAGGAACGGGAGCGTTGGACCATTTCATCATAAATTGTCGGGGAACTGGTCAAATTATCGGGTTGATGGAGGCGGCAACTAAAAGTGGCTACTCGGCATTCCCATCCTTACGCGAAATCCTGGAACGTGTCCCTCCCTTCACACACCACATGGTTAATCTCATTCTGCATGGAAGTGCGACTTCTCAAACCTCGGCAGATATTCAAAAGGGAGACGGTAAGTTATAAACTCAAGTTTATAACTTTATGGAATAATTATAAAAAATATTTCGTTTCCTCAGAAATGTTGGGAGACTGTAGAAATCTAGGATCGTCCATACTTTCCCTGTTGGGCGCAATTAGAACGAGACTGAGCGGAAAACAGGTAAATAATTAATCAGGGAGGTTTGCTACGGTTTTAACTACTATGCAAAACCGGTTTGGACACCGAATTTTGGACGTCCTAAACGTCTAAAAGTATCCAAAATAGAAAATTTGGCAAGATAAGGCAAGATGTTACAAAAAGTAGTTTTGGACGTCCAAAACGAAACGCTAATTTATATGTATACATATGCATATATTGTTATTTGAACGCCAATTTTGTATTTTCCTAGTTGGCCGACCCCTACAACGAGATCAGAGACAAGCTTCAAAAACTATTATCTACCGCATCCAGTCTTGGAAGCTCCCTGACACCCGAAGCCGACGCGGCTGAAGCTCTGGAAAATGAGCTTCTTGCCATGGAACGTGCTATTGAAGAGGCGTCCAAGAAGATGGAAGAAATGTTAAAAAATTCAAGAGAATCGCACACCGGAGTCAAACTCGAAGTGAATGAAAAGTTGATTGATTCTTGTACCACGTTGATGAATGCCATCCGACTTTTAGTCCAACGAGCGAAATTCTTACAGTCTGAAATTGTATCGCAGGGGAAGGTATTTGAATGACTATAAAATAAGGCTATCCCGAGTAAAAATTTGAACATTAAATGCGCAGAATGCTTCTAGTTTTTGTCGATTTCTACTCGGGACTAATAAGTGATATCTTCAATGGTAACAATTGACTACTTAATTATTTATATACAGGGATCGACATCGGTGAAAGAATTTTATAAACGGAACCATCAATGGACCGAAGGTCTTATTTCTGCTGCAAAAGCGGTTGGTGGTGGTGCTAAGTTTTTACTGTGAGTTGTACCCTTAAACTTTCAAAGGTCACTTAAACACACATTTTTATCCATGTTATTTAATTCTTTTACAGAGAGAGCGCAGACAAAGCCGTGACTAATCCCACAGCAGGATTTGAACTGTTGATCGCCTCTTCTCAAGATATTGCAGCTAGTACAATTCAATTAGTTGTGGCTAGTCAAGTCCGGGCGGATCGAAGTTCTCAAAACTTGTCTCTATTAAAGCAAGCGTCAACCGGTGTCAAAACGGCGACTGCTGGTGTAGTTGCAACTGCAAAGGATTGTGCTCAGTTAATTGAAGAATCAGGTTAGCCAACACTTTTCGCGTTTTGATCACTATTACGGTATCCCAATTTTAACCACACACCAAATTAATCCATAATTTCTCTTCTTTTTTTGCAGACGAAGTTGATCTAGCCAAACTGTCTACTCATAACGCGAAACGACTGGAGCTAGAAACACAAGCGGAAGTGCTCAGACTTCAAACCGAGTTGGAGAAATCCCGCATGAAACTATCCGCCTTAAGGCAACACCACTACCACAATTCAGACTAATCACGTATTTGTATTGTACACATTCGCCAAGAAATCAGTCCACACCATCGTCAACGTTCCGAATGCACGCCTTCTCATTTGTATCTGTATTTATTAGTAATTTATATGCTACGCGACTACTGCTATTACTGTTACAAATAGTATTGCTCTATATATATTAGATCATTAGCTTATGTACACGAGCCCCCCACCCACCCACCGACTGGTAGTATCAATCATTAGCCTGTCGTCGAGTCGAATCGACCATAAAAACTTTTCTGCACATTTACTCTGATTCCTTACTCTTCTGCCGGCGCGACGAGATCGAGTGGTTCAATAGTTTTCTAATTTTAATTACTATGTTGCTTATCATGATTTCGTGTCATTTATGTCATTTATGTTTATGAAACAAAAATCTATCCGAGTCACAAGTAACAAGAACATTATTAATTGTGCTTTGATGTATTGATCAAACCCGATTTAACAATTTAAGAACATAATATATTTATAAAATGTGGGACACATTTTCAAATAAGTTAACCCTTAAGTTAACCTAATTACCTAATTGTAATACTTACTTTACAATATAATTATTACTGTGTTGCTTTTCTGTTTAGCCATCGCTTAATTTTTTATTACCAAACTCTTGTAATGTATAACTTTTGAAACGTATTGATAATCTTTTACACTTGAACTTTACTACGTGACTCTGCTCCTCCTCTTCCTATTACTATTTACGTCATGTTAACCAAAGAGTGCAAAATAATGTGTACAAGAAATAACGAAACGAAACAATCCTTACTTTGAGTTTAAAAAAACAAGTATTATTATTCGATGTGACGGTGTGAGTTGAACAATTAATACCGACAAGAAGAAGAATATTAATGATGATGATGATGTAAGAAGAGTAATAATATTTATTACCTAAATCTATAAAGTCTATTACCTATTTACCTAATAAGTTATAGGAGCCCACAATTTTATAAAATGCTATAATTGTATACTTCTTACTACTTGATCAGTTCTTTGTTCCTTTCTATTTATAATACTGTTGATTCTGTATCATTAAAATATGTAATAGCAAGGAGTGAACTAATAAAGCCTGAAGCCAGCCACATAAATACATAAACTAGTCCATTTTACTAACTTGAGTTACTTTCACTGTACTCGAGCACATGCAAATTATTATCTTCCGTCCGGGTGCATAAAATTACTTGGACATGTTACACGTCAAGTACGTCAATCTTAAGTATATACACAACAAGTCTATGATATCAATGGAGTTCTAAACCAACTGGGGAGGAGATGGTGGAGGAAGATGTGGTTGCAACAGGGCTAAAAATAAATACCATATTTGGTCTGTCGCGTGCCTGCATGTGTCTCCAGATCCGGCTTCCAGTCAGCTTCAAGTCCATACCGGCGAACGGTTTTTTCTCTGGGATTTGAAACCGACAGAAAAAAATGCTCGTGTCACATCATCATCATTGGCATTGACAGTATTTCAGTGTAAGCGAAATGTAGCAAGTTTAATAATAATCGTGGCCAGTGTTTAATTAAGAGTGGCGATGGGGAAGCAACGGAAATCATCGACCTTCACGGACAAAGCGAACAATTGGCGATTTCCATTTCCGACCAAGAACAGCGGGGAGGATAGTCTTGGCTGCGGCGGCGGCGGCGGTGGGGGTGGTGCTCAAAGCAAGTCAATTATTCCAAGTCGGGTCAGAAACAGGTTCGAGACATCGTCGCATCATTTGCTCGTTGGACTTTCGTCGTCAATTCAGGGTTTTTCGAGAAAAGGGAAGAAAAAGGTGTCGTCATGTTTGACCGTAAGTGCGAAATGAGGTGGTCATCATGCATTAGAATGAGAACTATCAATTCTTGTCTTTGTTACAGAGTAAATGTCACCCGGTCGGGATAGCGTCGTCATCGGCAAGCCATTATAATGGTCATCTTAATAATTCAGGAACTACGACGACGGATAATGACACTAATAAGGATGAGTTGTCGTCATCTTCGTCCGTTTGTGACGTTGCATCGCCAACGGAAGATGACGAAGATGGTAAAAATGAGAATGAGACGTATGCTCGAATTGGAGATTACAATAGAGAAGAAGCAGCACCAGGTAAATTATATAGTCGTGTTTGCTATGGGAATTTGAACGTTTTTTTAATTCATAATTTCTTATTGAAGGTCACCCTCGACTCCCTCCACCCTTGAAACCTCTGTACTTTGAAGTCCCTCAAGAGGAAGAGCACCAACTGGTTGAGAGATCCTGGATTTATGGGGAAATTGATACCATTTTCTCCACAGATAGCAATAGACGGGGCGTTATCATTCATGGAAATCCGGGCACAGGTACAGGTCCAAAAATGGATTTCTCTCAGCTTATGCTCTCGGATTTTGGGCAAACTAGTGTCAATCTGCCACAAATTAAATTAGTATGAAATTTGCAAAGGGCAGGATCTCCCAATTATCACATTCGGCAAAGATATTTGCACCCAAAGAGGAGAAAAGCCGTAATAAATTTGGAAAGTGTAAAATTTGTCAATTGTATGATCTCGTTTTCTCCTCTTTGGATGAGAATATCTTTGCCGAATATCTCTCCAAGTATACCTGCGCCGTATCATTTTTGTAAATACATAAATAAAATGGGTACTTATCTATCTGAGTACTTTATTTATCAGGAAAAACTACGATTGCACTCCAACTTGTGGAAAACTCGTGTTTCGGGAGAAATATGAAACCAGAAAATGACGAACTCGGAAATGGGAGCTCTTTGGTCAAGCTAGCCTCGAAAATTGTGGCGTATCACTTTTGTCAAGTGGACAATAGAACGACCTGTCTGGTCCCGGACTTTGTGCATTCCCTGGCTGCCCAAATGTGCCAGGCTCCCGGTCTCTCCGCGTACCAGACGTATCTCGACGAGAATCCAGACGTCCAGGTTGGTCAGCAATACAAAAATCAGAATTTCGCTTCTTGTGGATTTGCCATTTGCACTGCGAAACGCAGGAAATGTGAGGTGCAAAAAACTGCAAGAAATTCTTGACGCGATTTCTTACAAGTGGTTACTCCCACCCGAAATGCTGAAAATAATCACGTGACCTATGTCATCAATGATATTTCTGCTTAATGTAGGACCTCCTTTCTACCCATCAATGCCTCACGGACCCCAAGAAAGCCTTCACGTCCGGAATTCTAGCCCCCCTTCGGGATCTCCACAAAGAGAAGAAGCTCATATTTCAAGACTACTTCTTCCTAATTCTGGACTCTGTCGACGAAGCAGAGTCACATTCCCGACCAGGAAATCATGGCGACACAATTTCAGGCTTCTTGTCGAAACATATCCTCAAAATTCCACCCTGGTTCAAAATCATTGCAACGATACGATCCAGTCAATTGGCACTTTTGGACTTTATTCCTTTCAAGCGGATAAGGTTATTTTGTGACCATTCGAATAATCACGATATTCAGAAGGCGGATATGTATTTATTCTCGGCTTTTTCATATAATGACGACTAACGGTCAAACTTTGTGGGGGTGTTCCTTAAATTTTATGGATCACTAAAATTTCAAAATATGTTTACAGAGTGTTACATATTTCTAGGTTTTCATTTTCAGACATATAAATATTTCCGCTCTTATTTCAAAAATACAGAAATCTTTTACATATTAAAAATACATAAATATTTTATAAAAAATTCAACGATGCGAGACGAATTTTTTTGCTGAACGAAATTCGACCAGCATTATTTTCAAAAATACAAATTTTGCGAAAATTCTTATTTTTGCGCTCTTTCGTACATATTTCGTAAATATTTTGACTTTCTTTTCTCAATATTAAATACATATTTCAGCAATTTTTCGTAAATACATATCCGCCCGCTGTTAATATTTATTTCCCAATTCATGACATACTTGACGTAACACCGTTTTTTCAACTATGTCCAGCCTGGACACAATGGATGACCGAGTGGACGCCGACGTACGTCAATATGTGAGTCAAAGACTGCAAAATCTTGCCAAACCTTGCACAACAACGGGAAGTGGGAAAAAGGAAACATTTCCGGTCGGAAACGGGAATAGAAAAAAAGTGGTCAGCAATAGCAGCAGCACTTTTCCAGGGTTGAAAACACATCTCCTCCAACTTTCCGGTGGTTCCTTTCTCTTCCTCAAACTTACCATTGATCTTATCGAGCACGGACATTTAGTCGTCAAACTGAACAACTTCAAAGTAAGCAGAAATCGAGGATGGCGATAAGATACGATGACGGGTTGTCATGCATGATGGTTTTTTCTATTTTTTCTCTCTCAGAATTTACCGATTTCTCTGCAAGAAGTATTTTCGCTTCATTGCAATCTCCGGTTTTCGTCCGGCCCTAAGTTTAAGGCTGTGACACCGATCCTTTCAACTTGTCTCGTTGCTCTGAATCCGCTCAACTTGTTGGAAATCTACCATTCCGTGAATTCTCTCCGATTCAAAGAAAATTTGGCGTGGGTCGAGTTTCTCAGGTTGTTCAAGGTAATATAGGACACATTTTTATTTGAGTAGCACTCATATCAGCGTCTCAAGTGTCGTGATATGTACTAGATTTCGCAAACGTAACAATGAAGGTCTCCCAGCGTATGCTCTCAGATTTTGAGCAAACTAGTGGCAATCGATCAGAAATTTAATTTAAATGAAATTTCCACGTTTGGCAGAGATATTTGCGTTGAAAGAGAGAAATGCGCCCTAAAGTTGACAAATTTACAATTTCCAAATTTACTGGGCGTTTTCTCCTCTTCGGATGCAAATATCTCCGTCAAACATGCGCATTGGGAGATTGTGTTCTTTGCTAATTTCGTACACATTAAATTTGTGATCGATTGACACTACATACGTAATTTTCTCACAATTGGAGAGGATACGCTGGGAGACCTCCATTGTTAGATTGTGAAATTGAGACATGCTTTGTGAGATTTGAGTACCCCCTCGACATAATATTGCAATAATACAAATCTAGTGCCTAAAATACGCTGCCCTTTTAATCTCTCCTTATCAGACTTTGCAAGGCTTGCTCGTAAAACGGCTGGACGCGACGTACATGTTTTTCCACTCTTCCTTCCGGGACTGGCTACTTGGGAAGGATTACTTTGGAAATGCGAGATTCACCTGCAATTCCGAGTACGTAGAAAACACGTTGTTGTTCACTGTGCAAAATTTGTAATCGCATTTTACAGCCACACAATGTCTCGTTACTCACATGCTTTTCTCAATCTGTGCAGAATGGGTCATGCCGCCATAGCGCTTCGCCTCCTGAGGGTCGAGCGTCCTTTAAGCAGTCACAAATTACTGGATCTCGCCCACCATCTTCTCAAAGCGAATAAATCTCTGCGAAGTGGGAGTGGTTCGTCGTCCTCCAAACTCTCTCAAGCCATTCTTCTGCTCAGCAGTTGTGAAAACGTGGCAACTGCACTCGTCTCACCGACCAATATTTATGCCACCAATCTTAAGGCATGTGCATTGCATTGATAAGCTCGTTGCTGTTTCGTTGTGGTTCTAGCTACTGTACAAAACAGGGATTTAACCTAAATTTAACCAAAGGGATTTGTCCAAAATAGAAAATGGGGTAAAACGTTACAAGTTCTTTAGTATTGAATGTTTCGATAATGCGTTGACCTATATGCATGTAATCTCCCATTTATGCTGAGGATTTTGCTGTGTAATACGGCATGGTTTAGAAAATTTCTTAATTCCTCATAAGAAAACATGGTAAAATAAAAGTCTGTAGAAATTTCGTGGTTTTACAAACACGTGCATAGATTTGCAAAAAGTATTTAATAAAGAACTTGCAATATTTTGCTCCATTTTCCAATGCAGAACGCTTTTTGACATTTTGGACAGTTTTACACACTTTGGGACCGTGTTCAGTCTAAAAGTAGTTTTGCACGTGCAAAACACACTGGTAAAAATTGACTACGTGGATAGTGGATTTTATGCAAAATTTTCTGTCACAGGTGTCCCGCCTGCTGCTCCTCGCGGGTGCTTCCCCCATGACGAAATGTCCCCTCAGTGGTCAATCCATCCTCGAGATTTGCACGGCTCACGGAAATGTTCCTCTCCTCGACCTCCTCCTCGAGTTTGGAGGGGATGTCAACGCGGAAAATGAGAAGGGCGACAATCTTCTTGCCCTGGCGTCTCGGTCTGGTCAATTGGACATGGTTCGTTTCCTGGTGGGAAGGGGTGCCATGTAATAAACTAGAGTTCAAGTTCCTGTGCATGTCATTTGCATAAAGATGTATGTAGAAGACTGATCATTTACAGATACTAATTGTTTTGGATTTTTTGGTAAAATGTGAATAAAATTTGGACAATCTTTTAATTTTGTATTTTTGTACCATCATCGGCACCATCTCATCCCAGACAAACTTCTTTTTGTCTAAGATTCTACCAGCCATTTGAGTTTTATTCTATTAAGTGTCGTCACTCTTATTGTGATCGTTTTGTCCGTCCGTCCGTCCGTAAGCTGCATATCTCCGGAATGCCTCAACATGTTGAAAAGCCGTTTTAACCATTGTCCTTCTAATTTGTATTTCTCGGTCGAGTTCGATAATGGCGTCAATCTAGCCACCCCCACAGCTCGAGGGGGTCTGGTCCAAAATTAAATTTAACCTTCATGTCATAAATCAAGTAATTTTCATATGCTGTCATTTTACATTTTACTGTAAATATGACGACGCCACTTTTTTATGCTCGTTTGACACGGTATATTTTATTTTGTACTTCTTGAAATTCCAGTATTAATTAATTACTTTATGTATCCGACTGAAAGTCGTGGTCTCCGTGAGTGAGCAATAGTGCATCTTAAATCAGGTTTCTGGTCAAGTTTTACACCATCACCACACCGCCACTAAAACCAGAACAAGGTGAACCGATGGAAAGTTCGAGGCAACTTTTGGCCCGACTAACTGGATGGAATATTTCTTGGGCTTGCTTACCTTGGAAGAGTTGTTTTCATCTTCCACCAACCAAACCGACCTCAACAACGTCACACGACACGACACGACATGACATTTATTATACTCTTCTCTGTCTCTCTCTCTCTTATACATCAGTTTTATGGCGACGTTTAAAATTTTTTCCACCGTCTCACACACCCATCCGTTCCACCAATGAGAGCGAAGGGCCGGTTTATGTTTATGCCACTGGATCATGATCACCTCACTCGACCAGGCCAGGCCAGGAGTGGATCTCTTTGAATACGTAATTTTAATTGCCAAGTGACCAAGTCCAGTTTTTACAAGAATCTCGCTTTAACCTGGTCTGGTCACCCAAATCGTGTTCTGAAACCACAACCACCTTTCGCTTCTCCTGAAGGTGATCTCGGGTAAATACATACGTGGTCATCGTCACTGCTAATTACTCGACCTTCTTCTTTTTCTTCCATCTATGACAAGTCTCCACCAAGTCGAGCACGTTGTCAGTATCGCTGCGTGCTTCATGCCAACTAGAATTAAGTCCGACTTTTGAGACGCAATACGAAATTCCTTCCTTCATTCGTCGTCAGAATGGTATAAGTTGCATACTTATCTGCGTATCAATTTGTTCGAGAAGGTTTTCATGTCATATAATTTGATTTGCAGGGTGACAGCAAAGTGGTCGGAACCTGTTACGAAGACAAAGGGCCACAGGTATGGATGCAAAACAAAGTGAAAGTTTCCACTTCCACTTGAATAATGCAGATTGCAAAGTCGGCAGAAATTGTAAACTTGTCTGGCATAAATTTTTCAGCCCCCTTCTGGAAAATTCACCCATTTCGATCACATTACGCATTGGGTTGGAAATGCAAAACAGGTGAGTGAGTGAAGCGTAGATAACAATGGAGCCTCCATTATTGAGGTCTCGCAGCGTATGCGATCAGATTTTGAGCAAACCAGTGTCAATCGATCACAAATTAGTATGAAATTATAAAGGAACGTGCAAAACTTGTCAGCTTTGGGGCGCATGTTCTCCCCTTCGGTTGCAAATATCTCCGCCAATCGTGACCATTGGGACATCGTGTCTTTTTCAAATTTCATGCTGATTAAATTTGTGCTCAATTGACACTGGTTTGCCCAAAATTGGAGAACATACGCTGAGAGACCTCCATCGTGAGGAGAAGAAAGAAAAAGCCAGGATCAATTATGAAGTTGACTTCGCTCTGCCAATTAAAAAGTTTGCATAAAACGAGAAACATTTTGACAAGCACAACTTTGTCATGCAGTTTCAGTTATTCGGATCATCTTTCGTGCAGAGAAAGTCAATTACCGTGTGACACATTGTTATTGAAGCCTTATTAGTAAAATTATTGTGCAATGTCAACTTAACCAGACAGCTTTTTTGGTCTTTGTCCAATTAGGCGTCCACCTTCTACTGCGTGCGGATGGGGTTTCAGCCGTTGGCATATGCGGGTTTGGAAACCGGCTCGAGGAAAGTAGCGGCTCATGTAGTTCGCCAAAATAAAGTAGGAGTATATTCAATTTTTTGCCCAATTAGGCGTATTTTTCAAGCTTCCCAATTACACAAGGGTTCGATCCTTCCTTCCAGATCATTCTCGTCCTCAAATCCGCCTACGAGCCGGACGATAAGGAAATGGGGGATCATTTGGTCCGACATGGCGACGGGGCGAAAGACGTCGCCTTCACGGTCGAAGATTTGGATGAGATTGTCAAGGTACATACACACACTTTAATAAATATTAGTTTGCTGAGCAAGTGGATGATGCAAATAAACAGTGTTTCGTTTCTTGGGGGTTTGCCACATGTTTTGCATTAACTCAAGAAATGCGATGTGCAAGAAAGTGCAAGAAATTTAAGACTTCTAACGATGTATGAAATACATCAGCGGGGCGTAGTTTCTTACGCCTTGTACTTCTTGCAGGTCAAAATACCTGCAAGAAACCACTATCGTGCAGCTATTTCTTGCAAGTGCTTACCTGCACACGAAACACTGCTCCTAAATCAATACTATATGATTCATGTGTATAATATAGCGAGCCAAACAGCGTGGTGCAACAATTGTGCGAGACATTTGGGAAGAATCTGATGAAAATGGGAAAGTTCGATTCGCCACGATCCAAACGGTGGGTCTCTCCTTTTTATGTGTAGAAAAAATGCTAAAAATACGACGTTTCTGCCTCTCTCTCTCTACTTTTTGTCCTCGTGTTATTCATTTCGAAGTGTCACGTTGCGTTGTGTTGTCGTTATCTAAAATGTTTTTCGTCCTTTTTTTAGTACGGCGACACGACACATACTTTCATCGAACGTGGAAATTACCAAGGTCTCTTTCTCCCCGGGTATGGCAAACCTCTCTTCGAAGACCCTTTGTCTGCAAAGCTGTAAGTTATATTTGTGAAGGCATAAGGGGAACTAATGTGTTCTCCAAGACTATTCAATCCGGGACATGTCGCGAGACTATGAGGACGATGATAATGATAACGATGACAGTTTTTGTTGTATGTGTCTCATTTTCGCCCTTTTCTCCAACAAGTGTGGTCTGGTAGGACGAGTACCCTCGAAAACATGAGATTTTCAGTGTTTCTAATGCGAGTAACCACTTCCAAGAAATAACGGGGAGAAAGTGGTCTATTTTGCCCTGCAAGAAATGCAAGGCGCAAAAAACTGCGCTTACGCTATATTTAATATGATATGACACGTGGCGAGATAGCGCAATTTCGTGCAGTTTCTTGCACCTCGCATTTCTTGCTTTGCAGTCCGCGAAATGTAGCAAACTGGCAAAAATCGAAACACTACAGATTTCTTTAACCAACTTTTCCCAATAATTGACAGCTAGATTTTACGCTGGTGGGGTGGAGAAAAAGGGGGAATATGTATGTACGAAGGGGCAAAATAAGTTATGACGAGGCAGGGAGACACATTCCCCGAGGAGAAAGTTAATAGAACTCTGATTTCATGGAAAAGAGAGAGAGAAAAAAAAGTGAAAATCTGTCTCCTACTTTTTTTCCAGGCCGACCTGTCACTTGGGTTTTATTGACCATATTGTGGGAAACCAGCCGGATCTGGAGATGGAGGATGTGGTCAAGTGGTACGTATTTGTATGATGGCGATACGTGGACAGGATAAATAAATTAGGTCACGTCTTTTCCGCTTAATTCTCCCTCCCCTGCGATACACGCTGAACTGACCGAGGTGGCATTGTCTCGGGACAGAAAGACTGACGCACTCATTCCGAGTATTGTCCAATTCAATTTTGTCCCACTTTTACGTAATGGGCAGAGAAAATGACCAGATTTGACCTTATTAGTTTATTATCATTTCCGCCTGTATCGTCGTCGCCCTCGCTCCATGTGACTCACAATGTGGTCTCCCAGCGTATGCTCTCCGATTCTGAGCAACTTAGTATGCAATTTGCAAAAAACACCTCCCAAGTAATGGTCACATTTGGCAGAGATATTTGCATCCGAAGAGGAGAAAGCGCCCAGTAAATCTGAAAAGTGAAATTTGTCAACTTTACTCTGCCTTTTCTCCTCTTTGGATCCAAATCTCTGCCAAACGTGTCCATTGGGAGATCATGTCCTTCGCAAATTTTATACTAATGAAATTTGCCAATGGATTGACACTGGTTTGCCCAAAATCGGATCGCATACGCTACGAGACCTCCATTGTGAGCTATATACACACACATATATGTAAGAATAATGATGATGAATACATCCAATCCACGAACCAATTCCAGGTACGAATCGACACTCCTGTTCCATCGATTCTGGTCTGTTGATGACAGCCAAATCCACACCGAGTACTCCGCACTCCGCTCCATTGTCGTGGCCAATTGGGAGGAAACAATCAAAGTGAGTGTACATTTAGAGCCGTGGTCGCCGTAGAACTTACGCCACCACCACAAACGATCATTAATATTGTTTCGGAAACATTCCAAGATAGAGATGGAGACAGATTTATTGAATTTCCTCCCAATCCCAGCCATCCAGCCCGAGAGTAATCAATGTTTTCCCACTTTCTCCCTCACAAAATCTCCACTACCAAACCAACCACGTCGAACCGATATTGTTGGGTGGCGATGGTGATGATCCCTGTTAAATTACTGCTTTCTCCCCCAAATCTCTATCTCTGATCCGTAGAAATGTACCCAATTGACGATTAATTACATTCTTCACTCCCGTTACGCAAGACAAAACGGGATCGGAGTTTTATGTATTTTATGTTATGAACAGAGGGCGGATATGAAATTACAAAAAATCGCTGGTATGAAAGATTTAGGGGGAAAAAATACCATAATATTTACGAAATATGTACGAACAAACCTATAAAAATAAGAATTTTCGCAGAGTTTGTACTTCGAATTTAATACTCTGGATTTTGTATGGTCGAATCTCTTCGTTTCAAAATTCGTCTCACATTGTTGAAATATGTACAAAGCATATTTTTGAAAAAACGTAAAAAAATAAGCATTTTTGAAATAATAGCGGAAATATTTATGTCTGAAAACCTAGAAATATGTGACAATATGTAAAAAATATTTTGAAACCTTTGATGATCTATACGAGTTAACGAACACACGCACAAAGTTTGACCGCGGTCACCAAATGAATATGCTGAAAATAAATACATATCCGCCCTCCGATCATTATGGCGATCGTATGATTTTTCGCTTTTCTCCTTTTCTTTGCGAGGATTCTTTCCCACTTTCTTTTTCCAGATATTTGGCACGGGATAATATTTATATGTATGTTTTTTCCTTGTGTAATATCAGATGCCAATTAATGAGCCGGCTCCAGGCAAGAAAAAGTCTCAAATTCAGGAGTACGTCGACTACTACGGCGGAGCTGGCGTGCAGCATATCGCCCTCAACTCGCAGGATATCATCAAAGCCGTGAGTGACACAATATTCCGAATTCCGCCATGCAAAATCATACCGAACCAAACCCACATCAAAGTGAAAGCATGCAGGATGATGTAACTTGACAGGACGGGATCGAGTCGTATAGCGTTTTATTTACGTATCCCAGATATTTATTTATGTAACAAAAAAAGGCAGTTATATAACTTTAATTTGGGAAGAGATCAAATTTTTGACAATTCTTTCCCATTAAATTCTCACATTTCTAATCATAACGGTTGCATAAGTTAGGATGGAGGTCTCCCTGCGGACGCTTTCCGATTTTGAGCAAATCAGTATCAATCGATTACAAATTTATAAAATTGGCAAAGGACACGACCTCTCAATGGGCACGTTTGGTGGAGATATTTGCATCCAAAGAGGAGAAAACATGCCGTAAATTTGGAAATATAAGGCTCGCTTTCTCCGCTTTGGATGCAAATATCTCTGCCAATCGTGACTATTGGGAGATCGTGTCCTTTCTAAATTTCATACTAATTAAATTTGTCATCGACTGACACTAGTTTGCTCAAAATCTGAGAGCATACCCTGTGAGACCTCCATTGTCAAATACATGCATATGCTTACATACACATTTCTGCCAAAAGTCAGTAAAATCTGGCTTCGAATATCTCAAATTTAATTAGTTTCCTTCCTCCGTCATTTTTGCAGGTGAAAGCACTCCGTGAGCGTGGGACCGAGTTTTTAGAAGTTCCCCGAGTTTATTACACAACTCTGCGAGAAAATCTGAAAAATTCCAAAGTCAAGGTTGCCGAGGACCTGGACATTTTGGAGGTGAGTGACTGAGGAGAGCGGTGGAATTGTGTAAAGTGAAGCTTTGATCCTTACACAACTTTGATCTCGATTTGATCCAGGCCCTTCACATCCTCATCGACTACGACGACAACGGCTATCTCCTCCAAATCTTCACCAAACCGGTGCAAGATCGACCCACGCTGTTCTACGAGGTTATTCAGCGACGCAACCACAACGTACGTGAGAGACGGCTTGTTTTTTGACATGTTCTTACGCAATTTGACCTCGTCCGTCTGTCCGTCTGTCTGTCTGCGTCTTAGGCTGGCTCCGACATACATTCACAGATCGACATTCACCGTGTGCATTGCATTGCCCAAACAATTTCATCTCGGCTTTTCCTCAATATTTATTTATATTGATTCTGCCCAGGGTTTGTAAAACGGGGTGTATTGATTTTTTTAAGGAATTTTGTTTCATTGGATTTTATTTTGTTTTATTTCATTGAGTCCAGTGTTTCGGTTTGCACGTATGAGACTGCTTTTGGACTGGAAACTGTCCAAAATTGTCTAAAAGCATACAACATTTGAAAATGGGGCAAAATGTTGCAAGTTCTTTATTAACGACTTTTTGCAAATCTATGTAGAATGCAGATATGTAATCTCCCATTAAATTTGAGCATTTTGGTTGGTGTGACCACGAAATTTGGACAAACTCTTATTTTAGCATGTTTTCTTATGAGAAATTTTCTATACCATACCGTATTACTCATCAAAATGCTCAAAATTAGTGGGAGATTATATGCACATACATACGTCAATGGATTATCGAAAGATTCAATAAATAAGAACTTGTCACATTCTGCCCCACTTTCTTTTTGACACTTATGGACATCTTGGGCGTCCAAAATTCGGTGTCCAAAACCAGTTTTGCACGGCTGTTTTTGACCCAGCGAAACCCTAAAAGTGTCCTTTTCCTGGTCAAATTATGCCCCACCACAGCAAACCCATGTGTCAAAAGCCATGTGTATGTGTCTGATCCATCCTTCTTTTATCTCTCGTAGGGATTTGGGGCTGGAAATTTCAAAGCTTTGTTCGAAGCATTCGAGACGGAGCAGGATAAAAGAGGAAATCTGTAAATAAATTCGACTCTGCCGGATCAAACCAGTCGTCCGTACCACAAAACTATTTACTTTTGACTTTATCAAACCCAATCCCGACCTGAAGTCTGCAACACCAATCGACCCACTAATTGTGGATTTATTTCGCTTCATCATTATTATTATCGTCATCTGCTCTTTCTGTCTGTCTGTCCATCTGTGGCCATGTGCACCTACGTACGTACGTCCGTACCCACCCACTGCTTTTCCAGTGGAGCAAATTACTTACATGGAAAATTTCAAGTTCATTATCTCATTCCTTTGTAAACACGAAGCCAAGTAATATTTGTAGTGGTTTGGTTATGGCTCGGCTTGATAAGTGAGCGAGTGAGTGGTGGGGCCATAAAAATAAATAAATTGCTTGCTCTAAATTCGGCCGACCTCTGTTCTTCCTCATTAATTAATTACGTGCACTTTTAATGTGAATGATATTATATGTACATACATACATAAAGCAAATAAAAATATTAAGATGGGAATTTTAACTCGGTAAATTATTATATGGCATCAAAATTATTAAACATATGAACAGACGGTATGGAAATGTATGTACGAAAAATGGGTGAAATATGCATTTAAAATTTAGGAAAAAACACTAATATATTTTATTTACCAAATAAAAAAACATATAAATAAGAATAATTTTTTAAAAAGTCGAGAAAATATGCAAAAGATCACGTATTTTTGAAATAACAGAGGAGATATTTATGTCTTACAAGCTAGAAATATTTGACAATATGTAAAAACATTTTACGAGTTATGGAACACACGGGTCGTCATCAAATGACAAAGTTGAAACTAAATACATATTTGCCCTCTGATTATTATATGAAACTCGAGAAGCAAGATTGTAAAATAATTGTAAAATATTACATGAAAGCAACATTGTTGTGACAAGTTCTCATATTTCATTAGATTTTGCATACAATAAATGTGACCCGTATGGTAGACAAAAAAGCAATATGTCATATCCCACGGTCTTCTGCTCCTGCTTGGTCTCTGTAATAAAAGTGGTCTCGGTTTCCTTCTTCTTCTTACTCTGCTTTAATCACCTCTTTCGTTTTGTTTCCTTGTGGAAGAAATTGTAAAGTCATTACGCGTTATGCAAGCAACCCATTAAATATTATTAAGGGGTGAACCCCTTTATGAGATCGGTATGTCCGTCCCTCCGTCTGTCTGTCTTTTGGGGAGACAACTCGGAACTTTAAGCTTAGAGAATGAACCTATTGTGTCAAGGGGACGAACAAATTCGAATTTGGGAATTGAAGGTCAAAAGGTCATGGCGCCAGGTCATAAGGTCATAATACTTTGAATGACAAGAGGGTCATTTGACACGTCACATGACTGTTTTTTATCCAACTTCATATGTTTATTGACCTGCGACGACCCCGTGACCGGTCAAATCTCAAGAACCCCACGTCTACATGAACCCCTTGGTTCCACCCCCTCTTTACACTCGTTCTTTACCCCGGTTTATTATTATGTCTGACTCGGTCGTCTTATCGGGACAAATTATGACCAGCCGTAAACCCGTCTCCGGTTTCACTGCTACTTTTACAAGAGCCAATAAGTTGCTGGAATGGAGTTGCATTCAGTTGCATTGCATTGTTCGCTGCCTGCCTGAATTTGATGGATATGTCGTCTTCTCTGTTTTTATCTCGTTATCTAATCATAATCCGAACCACACCAGTCCGTAAATATGTGCATAAATGTGGAGAGAGCGGGCTAAATAAAACTTTTGCATATTAAATATTTGCATCTTTATGGTCGAATGGATGGTTGGTATTTTATGGTGTGTAATGCATTTCGCAGTCCAATAACATCACCATCTTGCATCGCGTCGGCCGTCGGCCAGAATTATAGAGTTGGATAGAGTAGTAAATAAATATATAGTTTGTTGGACAGACCATGCAGGTTATTACCCTGCCTGATTTTTCAGCAGTAGCACATTGTGCACAGCCTTATTTGCTTGCGTAGTCAAAATAATAATTATTAGTGCAAATAATGTAATGCAGCCAGAGTGTTGCACGGTGTATGAAATAAAGTATGATTCATGGTAGAAGAGTATATGTAAGCACAACGTTTGAAGTAATGGCTTCCTTATAGTTTGCTTATTTATTTGCGCTGCCACTTATGTACACCACGACTGGACAAGTTATTAGAGAGAAGGAAATGGTCTGCCGCCGGACTTGTTAAGGCAATGATCTCAAGGCAGGGTTCTTAAAATGGGGTGGATTTAAACTGCATTTTATGCTATGTTTTTGGACAAAGGTGAAAAAAACGAGTAGTAAGTACATAGTACATGGGGACCCGATAACTCGTCACCAAAATCGGCATAATTATGTAACACATTTTTAATCATTTTTCAGCTCTGGGAATTTATTTTAAAATTCTGGACGACAAATTTGTAGTCAGTGAGCTGATTAATAGAATGGCGATGAGTTTTTACACCAGTTCTAATTTTTCTGAAGGCTTCTTAAACTTGAGAACTACTCTTCAAAAACTGTCAAAATCTGGAGGGTACATTTTGAAAAAATTGGCAACGACCTGCTTTAAAAATTTAATTCATCCAGTCCTACGTTGGAACACGGTGGGTTTAAACTGCATTTTATGGCGTGTTTTTGGACAGGATGAAAAAAAAAGTGAGTAGCACATGGCTGAATCGTGCCACAAAATGCATACCGTCTTGTAAACCCTGTATTCATAAGTGTGTGCAGTTGTACGTATGTACCTACATATTTATTACCAAATCTTTCTTGTCGGTCAGTCAAAAGTGCATAATGATGTCGTGCATGCATTTCTCCGTGTGTGTGCCATGACGATGATGATGATGACCATTCCATTATTATTAAATATTATCTGGCACGTCAATCACTCCGTGGACAAAGAGCGAGGCAATGTACTTGCCCAGGTCGTATAATAATTTCGTTTTTTCCTCCTCTTTATCCATCTTGGGTAGTGCACTTGTCAATTTGAAAGCTACAGATATGGAAGTAATAAGTACAGCATCCTGTCCAGCTAGGCATGCATGCAGGTGACATTGCTGTCAAAATCAGCCATGTGTCATCAGACATCCACGTTTGGAGTTTGCCTGCGATATCCTCATATTTATCTGGAAGCAGTGTTTCGGGGGCAAGTAACCATTTGCAAGAAATGACGGCAAGAAAGTGGTTTCTTGCAGGTAAATATTTTAACCTGCAAGAAATGCAAGGCGCAAGAAACTACGCCCAAATACTTCATGTGACTACATGACGCCTCTTTCTTGCACTTTCTTGTAGTTTCTTGCACCTAACTGCGTTTTTTGCTTTGCAGTGCAAGAAATTAGCAAACCCGTAAGAAACGAAACACTGTGAATAAGCTTCTCCTTTTCTGTGTCGTTACTTTCGTCGTCGTCGCATTTCATTTTGTGACGGGTTCAGAAATCTGGTTTGATTTAATTCTGTAAAAGTGAGAGGGATGAAGATAATACGAAATCTGTCCTCCGGTCGCTTGATAACTAAATGCGTACATATCTACATATCATCTCCCACTCTGCTCGCACAAATCTACATAAGCCTTTCTTTATACGTAAAGTTGAACAGTTTTCCTCTTGCACACAAAAAAAGCTTTGCAAGCAAGTAACACTTCTTCTTCCCCTTCTTCCTCGAAGAGGTGACAAACAAACCAAACCACCAAAAAGTGTGGGGACATCGAACCCAAAGAAGTAAGGACTGGATTGGTTTCGTTTGAGAGATACGCATGCATACATTATTACACACACGATTAATTGACACCGTTTCTGCGGGGTGGGGACGGTTGCGAGAATTGAATTATTTGTAAACAAAATTTTATTTGTTTAAACCTTGGCAAAAGTTCTTTGCTTTGGTCGCAACTCCAAAAATTCGTAGAACATTTAGCGTTTTTTTACTTTCTGAAGTAAAATAATTTGTCCGAAAATTTATAATTTCAAACTGAGAACTAGACCTAGCACGTTTTTATGAATTTATTCTTAATAATTTTTATTTCTTAGGAATAACACGATCTCCCTTTTCGAATTTATTCTAATTTATCAATTTAAATATGTACTTGTACTATATATATATTAAATCAATGTAATGCTCTCACCACCATAAAAAATCAACCCACTACAAATTTCCGTCTCATCTTGTGTTCCATTATTCACCTAAATTTTTATACGCAAATGGCACGATATCGCAAAAAAAATAATCCCCAGAATTTTCTGCCAAGCTTTTAGGTTTTCGAAAATTTACAATTTGTTTCTGAAAACTATTCATTTGTCGCGCAACATATTAGAATATTTAGAATATTGCATTATTACGCAATGATCCCCATCATCTGCTTTGCCTGCTGGTAAAGAGGAAGACGAGGAATATGTACATATCTGTACGCACGGAAAATGCGAAATGGAAGAGGTTGAAGAGACGAATGGTTGGATATTAGGGTCTCCCAAGTTTGTAAAAAAGATCTGAAAAAGCGAAAAGCTAAAAAATCTGAAATTCGCTTTTTTCGCTCAATACTTGACTGTCCCGATTTTTTATCGCTTGAATACTCCGGAGCAGAGAATGGGTGGTCAGGAAAATTTCGAGTTTCTTTTAAAATTTAAATTTGCTTCATGTTGGATATGATAAAACAACTATCTAAGATCATGTAAATCCAAAAATTACCAAAATGGGATGAAAATAGGATTTTTGGCAAAGGTTTGAATGCGGTAGTTTTAGTGGTTGCAATGCTTTTCAGGGGTTGTGGCGGGCGCAGGTGGGGCACTGGAATAAAATCCTCCCTCACTTTTCATACACTCACCTGATATTGCAATATATTCCATAGGGCATCAAAATCGGGCGATGTCCCCTTAAACATGTCTCTGAGAGACTGATTTTTCATTCAAAGTAGTAAAAAGAGCGAAAAAATCATCTTAAGGTAGATTTTATTTTTGAGCAGAAAAAGCGGAAAAAAGATCGGAATCGCATGCGCAGTGCGGTTTACAAAAAGAGCGAAAAAATCGTGAGCGGAAAAAGCGATTTTTTTTACAAAGTTGGGACACCCTATTATTCCTGCGTCACATTTCGTTAGGCGTGGACCTTTTAGTGAATCCGAAATAAAATCCGAATCCTCCTCTCTCTCTCCTTCCTGACAACAACCTTTCACATCCATTCCAGGAAAACGAGGTAACAAAAACCAAACCCACATCTGAAGGGAAAGAACGGCATATTACGAGTCAACAAATGCATGCAATTTCTTTCTTTACGACTTCTGCGAAAAGTGTACATATGTTTTTTATACATGCTTTCATGAGGAAGTGACTCCACTCGTGTGAGCGAGGTGAGGTTTGTATGTACCTTTCTTACATACAGTGTTTCGTTCCTTGCTATATTTCTCGCACTTACAAACATCTCTTGAACATTTCGTTTTGCACATTTCTTTAAAACGCAAGAAATGTGAGGTGCAAGAAAGTGCAAGAAATATGCTCCATCCGGCCACGCGCTGT